TTTTTTTTTTTTTTTTTTTTTTTTTTTTTTTTTTTTTTTTTGGTACCGGGGATTGAACTCTGGTCTTCGCGCTTGCAAGGCAGGCCACCGAACCGCTGAGCTAAACCCCCAGCCCTTGACTTTAATTCTTATCGATACGGTTGGTATCCCAACTCTTTTATCTTAGACCCTTTCCCTAGCTAGCTGCCTTCTTTGTAAGCGAACTGAACTAATTTTTACATTTTGAATATTAAGACAATGTAAACATATATTGAGACATCCTATGTATAATTTTGAAGTACTAGCTCAAAAGATGAAAGAAGGAAAGAAAGGGAGAGAGAGGAAGAAAAAGACTGAGAGGAATAAAGAAGAGAACTTCGGCCCAGTTACCCAGTTACCACTGGTCTGGGACCCCGAGGAGCTGGTTCTCTCCTTTTTCTACCTCTTCTTGCGGTCCTGGGGGCCCAATCTCATGTTGTGTTCTGGTTCTTTGAGCAACTTGTCTACTCTGTGTCCTCCTAGCTCTGGTCACTTCTCCAGAGGGGACCCCTGGCCTTTCCATCCGTGGCTCTAAGCACAGGTAAGTCGGGTTTCACCTGGAAAGAGGATCCTGAAAGGTATGGCTGGAAAGTTCATGGAGAATCCTTTGAATCAGGAAGGGCACTTGAGCATTTTTTGGAGGATGGCTGGGCACAGCCTACAGCAGAGGATCTCTCACGGCCCAGACTCAAAGCTGGGTAGAGAGGAGGAGGAGGAGGAGGATTCAGGCCCTTCACTTTGGAGGAACTATAGAAAAGACATTCAAGCATGGGTATCTGGAAGGGAACAGAATGGAACCTGAAAAGATGGGAAGTAGAGGCCACGCAGGAGTGTTGAGTGGTAGGTGTGGAATGTGACCACATCCGGCGCAGACAGGGGAGCAAACTTTTTAACTTCCGCTCTTGACCCTTGCAGTTGGGGGTACTGAGGCCATCATGGCCTTCTCTTTGCAGAAAAACAGGATGCCCTGGCCTAGGCCACAGGTACTTTGAGAACCACGAGGCACAGCTAAAGCAGCGAGCGTTTGAGAGGAATATATGGCCAGCCTCCTGGAAACTCCCTGGTCTGCCCAGCTCGAGCTCCAGACCCTGGAGTACCTCCCAGTGAGTTTAAAGACAGAGCCCTAACCAAGAGTCTGAGAAGGTAGCTAATGCGTTTACCTGGGATCCTGTGCTCTGGGGAGGACCCCCCCCCCATATTTCTAAAACTCACTAGGTCAAAGGATTTATCCTCCAACTCTTCACCACCAGATTGGGCATTCTTGTTAAGGCCAGAAGAATGTGAGCTCTCAGCCCCAAATAATGTGGCAGCTTAGAGGAAACATTATATCAGAATAACAATACACCCAACACTGGATACCACCCAAAGGACAGATATGGGAACCAACGGTACAATAACTCTTAATTAATATGATCAGTTCAGCTAAGGAGGCGAATTAAGTATGAATCAAGAATAAGAACCACCAGGTGTACTGGCACACACCTGTAATCCCAGCACTTGGGAGGCTGAGGCAGGAAGATTGCCAAGAGTTCAAGGCCAGCCTGGGCTACATAGTGAGATCCTGTCTTTAAAAAAAAAAAAAAAAAAAAAAAAAAAAAAGTAGGCGAAGCAACCCTACTAGAAATGTGAGAAGAAGTAACTTACAAGTGTAGTTGGAAAGTCACATCTCTCTCAGAATATGGAAGACCAGAAAGGGCCGGGGATTTGGCTCCGTGGTTCCACTGCCTGCCTCGCAAGCATGAGGGCCCAAGTTTGATTACTGGTACAACTAAAAAAAAAAAAAAAGGAAGACCCATAAGACTAAGAGTAAACAGAGCTTTTTTTGTTTGTTTTTTGAGACAGGGTCTCACTATGTAGTTCAGACTGCTCTGGAACTCACTGTGTAGCCCAGGCTGGTCTTGAACTCACAGCGATCCTCCTGCCTCAGCCTCCCACGTGCGCCACCATGCTCTGCTCATAAACAGAAGAATTTAAATTCTAAACCTGGCAACTAAAAAATTCCAAGTATTATAGCATTTACATAATATGGACAAGTATGTACATTATGATTTTCAAATATTCAAAATATCCATGTACATGTTAAGAATTTTTAAATTATGTAAATACAAATAATAAAATGCATTATGTATAAATACATAGAAACTGTATAATACAATACACATGAATATACTCATCAAACACTCTGCATAAAGACAGATAATGTGTAGTCTTTAAATACATAGAGAATATTTATAAAATTAGATCTGATATGAGGATTTAAAATAAACTTGAATTCCAAAGAATTAATATGTTGCAGGATATATTCCCCAAACATAATTTAAAAATTAATTGCAACAAAATTAAGAATGAATGAATGAAGCAAAGCTAAAATAGCACATTTTGAAACTAAGTAATATTTATTAATAAACTTTAATATAAATTATTAAATGTATAATAAAATATATTATGATAATAGAAACTACATAAAAATCATGGGGCACACCTAATATTTAGAGGGAAAACAATAGCTTTAATTAAATTCATTGGAAAACATAAAAGTTTAAAAATTGGTTCAAGAAGATAGAAAATGATCAACAGAATAGGCCCAAAGATATATAAGTATATATAAACAATATATAAAGATACATTAATGTCAAGATACCAAAATCTCTCAATATGAAAAGGCAAAGGCTGAAATAAATTAAATGGATTAAGATGGTGGAAATAGGGCCAGGGATTTAGCTCAATGGCACCATGCCTGCCTTGCAAGGGCAAGGTTCTGAGTTTGATTCTCAGTAAAAAAAAAAAAAAATGAGAGAGAAAAGCAACGAAAGGAAATCTATAAATGGTTCTTTGAAAAGTTTCACAAAATAGACATATTGCTGCTGCATCCAAGATAAGAGATTTAAATAAATAACAAATTGAGGGGCAAATTCTAGTCTGAAATCTGACAAGTAGACAAATTCCTTAAAATGTAAAATGCCAGGGGCTGGGGATTTAGCTCAGCTGTTCTGCCACTGTGGGGACTGGAGTTCGATCCCTGGTACCAAAAAAAAAAAAAAAAAAAAAAAAAAAAAAAAAGATGAAAATGTAAAATGCCAATGCCATTGTATCTCCTCACAGTAGCCCAACCTATGTTGCAGGGTGTGTGTGTTTTTATTTTTTAATCCCTTTTCCTAGTTTTACCTGGCCCAAATTTGCTCTGCAGAGCCTGTTTTTCTTTCTACCTTTAATAAATGTGAAACTTAGCATATGTTAAACACACACACACACACTATATATATATATATATATGCCAAGATTTAGAAAGTAATAGAATTGAGTAGATTGGTAATTATGAAAAATTGAAAAGTTAAAAACACATCTTCATAGAAAACTTGAGACTGACTCAGATAGATTTACAGATTTTGCCAAACTTTTACGAAAATGTTTGATTCATATTTTATGCAGAATTTTACACAAAATAGAAAAGAAGTGAAAGCTGTTGGCTGGCTCCAAGGCAGGGTAGCCTGGTAGAAGGGTGTCACAGAGAAAGGGTTCATGGCAGGTAGAAGGAAGCAAGCAGTGCAGCGTCAAAGCAGCAAGCAGTAAGCAACAAGCAATGGCAGCGGCCCTCTTTCTATACCTTATAGTGTATCCTAGACACATGCCTTTGGGGTGGGGAGCACTCATGCCCAGGGCAGGGTACCCACTATCTACACCTAGAACTATACCAAACCAATCCAGTGGACTAATTAAGTGTAATTAACTAATCACACATCCTTGACTCCAGCATCACATACCAGCCTCTGAAAAGCCCCACTTATGACCTCACGAGGCTCTGGGGGGGGGCATTTAGACACAGTCATAACAGCTGTCAGTGCATTTGTAGAGGTTAGTGCCTCAAAACTGGCTACAGATAGCACAAGGAAATTAAATTACAGATTCATGCTGGGTGTGAAGTCAAAAGCAAAATGAATGCCAGCTGATTAAGTGCAAAGTGTATCAGAAAAGAGTGAGTCATGATCAGTGTGATCTGGTGGGGTGTATTTCAGGACTGAAAGGGTCATTCAGCCATAGAAAACTGATCAATATAAATGGAGTAAGTATGATAATTAATAAGTAATAAATGTACAGGAAAATTTCAAGTGCTGTAGAAAATGCCCTCGGAAAGGTTCAATACATCTATAGTATAAGGAAAAAAATCCATAAAATAGAAATAGGAAGATAAAACTTGGTGAAGATTGTATGCCAATGACTACAGTAAATGATTACTAAGTGGAAAAAATATAAATACAAATTAAGGATTCTTATAGCTACCACTAATACTCAGAATAGAGGTCCTGGCCAATGATAGAAGAAAGCAGATGGACGAGAGAAGACAAGAATTGTGAAAACCGCACTTGCAGGTGATAGGGTCATCCATACCAAAAAAAGGAAAGCAGAACAAATGACTATTAGATCTCATGAAAGAGTTTAGCAAAGCTGTCCGATTCAAGACAGATCCAACTGGCAAAAATTTTAAAAAGCTGGATGTGGTGGCTCACACCTGTAATCCTAGCTACTTGGGAGGCTGAGGCAGGAGGATTGTGAGTTTGAGGCCAGCCTGGGCAACACAGTGAGACATCACCCTCGTATTCCCCCCAAACAAAAGTAATTTTCCACTTAGGAATAATTGTTTAGCAAAATCTAAATAAAATAAAATTCCATTCACTTCAAAAACAAAATAGTTTCTAGAAAGGATTAATTTAACCCAGATCTCTTCATAGAAAACCTTAAAATGCTAATATATATAGATATATATAATATATATACCTATATATTATATATCTGAATAAATAGAAATAACCCATGATCTTGGATGAGAAAATAAGATTATAAAAATTTCAATTCCCCCCAAATCAAAGTCTCTAAATGTAATTCCAATCACAACTTGAGTTCATTTTTTTTTTTAATACCAGGGATCGAACTCAGGACTTTGCACTTACAAGGCAGTTGGCAGCACCACTGAGCTAAATCCCTGGCCCTTGAGCTCAATTTTTAAAAAGAACTTGATCAATTTACTGTAGTTTTTTTGCCCCCAGTACCAGGGATCGAACTCAGGACCTTGCACTTTGCACTTTGCAAGGTAGGCGTGGTGCCACTGACCAGCTCCCTAGCCCTTGATCAATTTACTCTAAAATTATATGGAAGAATAAAGATGCATGAGTAGCTACCATGAAAAAGTAAAAATATAATCAAGGACTTATTCTCCTAAATGTTAGGCAATACAGCTGACACCAGTGTGGGGTGGTATCTAATTATGTAATTACATACAAAGATGGACTCCAGGTAGCTTCAGAGTGTGTGCGTGTGTGTGTGTGTGTGTGTGTGTGTGTGTGTGTGTGTGTGTATAAAGTAAAATTAAGTCCTTAGGAAAAAATGCTGCAAAAGATCCCTCTGTGTCCTATCATGTTTTATTTTGCTCTTTATTTATACATTGGATTTCTCAGATAAGAGAAATCATGCTATATTAAGCTTGTGGGTCTGACTTTTTTCACTTAACATTATAGTCTCAAGGTACTAACACAAAATGAAAATTGGAAAAAAAATACAAAAGGAAAAATACTGCAGATGACTATCTGGTGGCCTAGGGGTAAGGAAAGACTTCGTACACAAAACTTTCAAAACGCAAACTGTAGGGACAAAAACAATAGAATCAAATCAGTGGCCTCAAGAGTAAGAAATTATGTTCAATGTATAATGCTATTGGAAAAGTTCTCAAGCAGGTAAGAGTCGGGAAAATGAACTGAATTGCAACTGTCTAAAACAAGCACAGCAGTATCACCTGTGGTCTGCACCGGGCTGTTGCTAATCCACAGGGAAAAGGCTGGAATCCCGCAGAGATGGGCAAAGCCCGCTATAGGCAGTTAAGAGGCGAGGAAATCTGAAAGGCAAATGATTAAGACTCACACCTGCTAATAATCAAAGAAATGTCACTAACCACAACCATGAAACACCACCTTCACCTTTCCCACTGGCGGAGTAAGGATGCTGGTGGCACCCAGGAAGGCTGGTTGATGGCTCCTGGGGAGGGTGTTGGCTGCCCCCTCCCTACCTGGGGGAGAGAGGAGCAGGTGCCGTCCTGCCCTCCGCTCTTTCCTTCCTTCCAGGAACTCCAGTGCCCCCTCCTCCCTGCATACTGCTAACCCTGAGCTCCTGTTCCTCCTGCAGTGTGGTCTTCTGGCAGTCAAGGGTCTGTCGCTGTCAGCCCTGTGCATGGTTCTGTGCTGCAGGTGCTGCTACAGGGTGAGTGGATGGGCTAGGTGTGGGGTTCATGCATCCAGGCCAGCTCCCGCGCCAGAAAGATGGCTGGGAGGAAGGTGGTCCGGAGAGTCACAGCCAGGTGTCATTGAAGTGGTCATTATGTCTTGGGCTCTCTTCTGCCTTTCCTTCAGAAACAGACCTCAGGGAAAGAGAGGCTTTCCTGGGCCCGCATCCTCAGGGGCAGGAGGAGAAAGCAGAGAGTAGCAGGTTGGGCGTCAGGGAGAAGGGGCAGGTTGGAAGCAGGTGGAGGGCAGAAGGGAGGGGAAGAGGAGATTAGGAAACGGGCCAGGGTAAGACAAGGCGTGGGGAAGAGGGGCAGAGGAAAGGGCTCACTTTAATTTATGTTTCCTACTCACCCCCCCTCCCCAGGGTCACAAGGACACTGGTGACAAAATGATGGAGGCTTCTGATTGCACCAGCTTCATCCAGGCCCCAAAGCCCATGAGTGCATTCGACTATGTCCCTGGACACAGAAGGAACACCTGTTCTCCTACCCCCGATGAAGGGCAGTACACAAACCCAGGGAGATAACTCCCAGTGGCCCATCATCAGTGATACAGAGCAGTCTAAGATCCACTTCCTCTGCCCTGCCCCCAGACTGGCTGTCCATGGCAGCGATGATCTATATCCAGTGCTTTCCACTGTGACCCAGCACCCCGCCCGGCGTCTTCCCCCACCTGCACACATGCCCCGCGCTTCCCAGGGATCTTGCATCCTTCTGCTTGCCTCCGCTGGGCGCCAGGATTCCTGCTGTTGCCTCGCTCTGCAATGCTACACCTCTATGTCTTCCTTCTTGTGCTCAAATTCAACCTCTAGGACTGAACTTTGTCAGGGGCAACTGAGCAAGATCTGTGAGTGGATCCCCTTAGCTTCCAGTCCTCCCACCTCAGGTATCTTAATCTGAGATAAAAATGGCTTTAAAATAAATAATGAAATTGAAATGAAGGAAGGCTGTGATCAGCAGACTGAAAATTGAGGAAGTCTTAGAAGTTCAAGAAAAACTCAGATGCAATGAAAATCAGTCATTCACACGTAAGATCTGACCAAGATCCAATTTTCTGTTTGTTCAACATGTAAGTAGATTTGTAGCCTAAAGGAGAAAACCAAGTTGAATAAAACAAAACAACTGGGCTGGGGATTTGGCTCAGTGGTTCTGCCACCTGCCTTGCAAGCGCAAGGACCTGAGTTCTATCCCTGGTATCCCCCTCCAAAAGGAGTAAAACAAAACAACTGGGTGGGAGTGAAAGAGAAATGTTTCAGGGAGTAGAAGATATCACTTCCATAAAACGAGAGCAGCCTAGTGTCACATTCAGAACATTTAATATCCAGTGAGTCCTGGGCATTCGCCACTCAGAACAGTGACCCCCTGGAGGGACCAGTGTGTACCAGCTGGATGCCAGCCACGAAAAGGCCACCACCCAGAGAGCACAGCCTGGACAATATAAACCATTTCCTGTGTGTGTGTGTGTGTGTGTGTGTGTGTGTGTGTGTGTTCCAGAGAGCACAGCCTGGACAATATAAACCATTTCCTGTGTGTGTGTGTGTGTGTGTGTGTGTGCGCGCGCGCGTGTAATAGAGACGTCTCTTCACTCAGCTAGAGCCAGATGGCCTTCTACGCACACACCACTTTTCTTCATCCCTTATTTATTCATTTTACCCTCATTTCCTACACTCACTTGTCCCCTTTTCAAGGCAACCACTGTAACGCGTTGGCTGTGTAATCATGAATTGGAATGCGTCCTTGCAAAACAGGCAGTATAATTTTTCTGTGGCTCTATTCTTTATTTTCGCTAAGTAACTGGTGCTATGCCTTTTTCACACACTTGTGGAACACAGCGCTGGGTGCACGCCCAGGCTGCTGCTTTCTAGGCTGCAGCTCGTACTCCACAGTGTGCACCCCCTCACCCCCCGCAACTGTGCCATGTGGAACCCAGGGTACTGATGTGGGCTGGCCCTCACCTCTCCGCATTGCAGCCATGCTGCCATGGATGTCTTCCGATGTGTTCTCTGATGGAGTCAGAGATTTTAGGCTTTATACTTAGGTGAGATTAGCTGGGTTGTAGGGTCTCAGACACGAGGGGAAGGCTGCTCCAACCACTGATTAGACAAGTAGAGAGCATGCGCTTTCTGTGCCTCTGTAGGAAGCACACAGCACCACCTATCGGCTGGTTTTGGCGATGTTTATTCTCACATCCCGCTTGCTTTCTTTGGTTTTTGGCAAGAGCAGCCCATAGGTGGTGCTGTGTGCTTCCTACAGAGTCACAGAAAGCCCGTGATTGCTTGCCTGTGGCAGATCACTTGAGACTGGGAATTTAAGTCCTGGGACTACAGGTGTGGGCCACATGACAAGATGCTTTCTTGATTTACTAAGCTTACACAGCTGCATGGTTGGGACGAACTCACCCTAATACAGAAATACCGATATCGCTTGGAGCATAACAGCAATAGGATAAAAGTAGATGGAGTAAAGATATATTTTTATCAGTTCAGCTGCTAGGAGAGGAAACTCGGCTATAGCTTTTTAAACACTTTTCCTTCACATCCGTGACGTCAAAGGTGTCTTCTCTTTGCCACAATTTTCTTCATTTTTTAAGCCACCATTTTCAAACTTGTGATAAATTTGAAAACATTGTAAGTAAACTTCTGAAAGAGTTATTTTCTTTCAAACGTTTGAACATATTTTTACATCTTCTGACTTCCAGTGTTGCTATGGAAAAGTCTGATATTAATCTGATTTTTCTTCATCTTAACTGACCTATTTTATCTCTCTGGAGCATTTCATATGTTTTCTTCGGTGATTCGTCTTAATACAAGGGATTTAATTACTCATTCTATTTTTAACTCAATACACTCAGTCTGATGTAATCCATTTCTTTGGTTCTGAGAAATTCTCGTTATTATTTTTTAAATAGTTCTCCTCTGTTTACTCCCCCCCCATTCTGAGATTTCTTTGAGGAGGTGCTGACGTTTTCCATTTTTATCCTGCAGCCCTCTTCATTTTTTTATGCTTCTATATTAGTTAGCTTTCCAGTCTCCGGGACACGACACCTGCCACCGGCAAGGGAGAGGAGGAGAGATTGAATCCGGCTCACGTTTGAAGGGGGTTCCGTCCATGGCGGTCGGCTCCAAGGCGGAAGCCTCATGGAAGGAGGCGGGATGGAGCAGAGCTGCTTAGCCATGGCAGCTGGGAAGCAGAGCAGACGAAGGGTCAGGGACCAGCTATCATCTCGGGGTCACAGCTTCATGACCCGCCAGACGCACTTAGGAGCGTGCTCCGCCCGTCCCCTGTGTGACTCTCAAGATCTGTGACTGGCAAGATCTGTGAGCGGATCCCCTTGGCTTCCAGGCCTCCCACCTCAGGTATCTTAATCTGAGATAAAAATGGCTTTAAAATAAATGATGAAATTGAAACGAAGAAAGCCTGTGATCAGCAGGCTGCAAATCGAAGAAGTCTCATTGCGTACGGCGGCACCCAGTCAAGCCAGTCTAGTGCACACCGTGGGGCTTACCCAGGCCGGCCTCCCATCACGGTCCATCCAGTGCCTTTGGGGGGCGCCCTTGACGCTGTCCTTCCCTCACCAACTCCTCTCGCTCAGTGTTGCATCTATGGGATTCCTCGTCTCAATAATTTCCCTATTCATAAGCCATGCATCTAATTTGTACTTTTTCATTATTGCTTATTTCCGCTGCTCCTTGTCTCCCTGAGAATATTTTGCCTACTTTTTAAAATTTACTTTTGTTGGTACCGGGGATCGAACTCAGGACCTTGCGCTTGCGAGGCAGGCAGCAGAGCCGCTGAGCTACATCCCCGGTCCCACATTTTGCCCTCTTTAAATTGTCATTCTCCCGTCACTTCTGCTTCCTCTGTAATAGATTGCTGCACTTATTTCTCTGTAGGATATTTCTTCACGTTTTTGTCTTTAGTTCGCAGCACTTGGTAATATTTCTTGTGTTCTCATCTTTTATTTTCTTTTTTTTATTGAGGATCAGGGAATCAATCACTAGAGATTTCACTATGTAAGGATGCCCCAGAGGTTAATCGAGATAACTAGCTTGCCAGAAATAGTCCAGATATGCAGACACATTTAGTACATTACAAAGCAAGCCACTTCACTTTTAACAAATGGAAACAAAGCATGTTTAACTATGCAGAAAAATTAAATCACATCCCCTTTCCACACTGTAAAATAAACTTAAAATGGACTAAGGTGACAACTGTGCAATAGGAAGATATTAAAGAACTAAAAAATAATGTTGCAGAGGCAGAAATACATAAGCAATGCGAGAAGCCAGAGAGAAAAAAGGTTCAGAGATTTGACAAAAAAAAAAAAAAGTTAAGGCTGGGCCTGGTGGCACAAATCTGTAACCAGCACTCAGGAGGCTGAGGCAGGAGGATTGCTGTGTGTTCAAGGCCAGCCCAGGCTACATAGTGAGTTCAAGGCTGGCATGGACTACACGGTAAGGCACTGCTTCAAAAAAAGAATATTAGAAAAGTAAAGCCTCTGTGCCTTAAAACACTATAAAGAAAGGGTAAAAGAAAAAAAAAAAAAAGAATTTTTGAAATTAAATTACCAGTAACAGCATTCCACTGTCAGAGATCTGGAAAGAAAGGAGTACGGGTTTGAAGCAGTGTTGGGAGAGACATCTTAAAACCTCTTACACTCGGCAAGAGGTGAAAGTGTACAGTTCTTGGAGTTGATTTAAGCCCAAATAGAATGAACCCAAATACTTGCCAACACACCCTTCCTAAGTAAGTCCAGAATCGGGCCACAGAGAAAACTTTAAAATCAGCCAGAGCGCTGGTTCAGTTTGGCTGCGGAGGCCGAATACTGCACGGCTTGCTTGGAGGGCGAGGGCCCAAGGCAGATGCTCAGGAAGGGTGGCAGACAAGCGCCTGGGAGAGGGAGCCCTGTGAGCGAGATCGGGAAGGGCAACCCCAGCACACTGGGAGGCTGAGGCAGGAAGACCTTGAGTTTGAGCCGAGCCTGGGCACACTTAGCAACTTGGTGAGACCCTGACTCAAAATAAAGAATCAAAAGAGCCGGGGTAGGATGTAGCTCAGTGTGTAAGGCCCTGGGTTCAATCCCCAGTGCTGCAGAAAAGGAAGAAAGGGCAAAATGGCCCAGGTAAGGAAGGGAGGGAGCACACGTAATCCTGGGGTCCACCTGGGCCCCTGCAGTCAGAAACACAGGCGGCAGACCTGCCTCTGGGGGTCCAAACCAGTCCTTCCCTTCAGCTGGAGAGTAAGCAAAGGGCGGGTCTTGAGCGGAATGCTGGGTCATTTCCAGGAGCCTGGTGGCTGTGGCCGAGAGATAGGGTGGAGGGGAGGAAGCAGAGGGTCAGGAGGCACACTGACAGGGCAGAGCCGGGGAAGGGCTGGGGCTGGGGCTCGGGCGGGCGGCTGGCAGCAGGTGGAGCTGGGAGGCCACGCCGTGGCTTGGCGAAGCCTGGTGGAGGGAGTGGGCGCCCAGAGGGAGCTGGCAGGTGACGGAGACGGTAGGAGAGGAGGGAGAGGCAGGGAGAGGGCCAGAGGATGGGAAAGGGGTGTGTGTGTGTGAGTGTGTGTGTGTGTGAGAGAGACAGAGACGGAGAGTAGAGAAGGAACTCGCCCACTTGTGGCAGCACAGGCGCCCTCCTTGAACCTGCAGCTCATACTGGGTCTTACAGTTTGCATTTCTTGCAAGGCAAAACTAAGCACGGGAGTGTGAGCACGTGTTTGCAGCTGTGAGCACAGTGACATCGGCGACCCCTGTGAAGAGCTGGGGAGACGCAGGGTGACAGGACCTTCCCTGGACCCAGGCCCTGAGGATCCCAGGCAAGCCTCACTCACACACGTCCCCTAGGTGCCCCCCTGACTCAGTGAGGTGGGAGGTGTCCCTCAGGACCTGGTTTAGGAGGGGCTCAGGAGGGCAGGAAGTGTCCCCACTGGGCCCCAGCCTGGGTGGAGCAGCCACAACCACACCTGCCCAAGTTCTGACGAAGATGGGGAAACAGCCGCCAGCACCGCCCTCCCCAAGATAGGCTCTGTGGGGCCTGCGGTCTGCGGGTGGCGCTGGGTCCCCAAGACCTCGCTTCTCTAAGTGGGCGACTTCACTTTCACGGCCCGGCGGCCTTCCCTGGCGGATTCAGGCGGCATGTCCTGTGGCGGCCTGGGCCCTGACCTGGGGCCCCCCCTGTGCCCCAGCCCCCTGCAGGGCCTGTGACCCCTGCCTGGATGGAGCCATGGCGCCCAGGCTCCTGCTTCTGCTGCTGTGGCTGCAGGCCTGTGTCGCAGGTAAGAGGACAGGGAGCGAAGAGAGGAGGGAGGGGCCGTCTTTCCTGTCCTTCCCTCTCTGCCTTCCCTGGCCCAATCACCCT